TCCGCTCTTCAAATAGTTTTTTCAACACTGTATTCGGGAAAGTTCGTACACATTACCTCTAAAAAATTTTGCTTGCGTCCAAAAGAAGTCACGCTCTTCATGCATACATTTAATATAGACATATTGCATATCTTGTTATTCTAAAATCGGTGGCTTATTTTTATCTCTACATTTAAATATCTCAAGGTAGTTTAAGATCGCCAAACAGTGGAAAACAAGTCAGACAAATAGCTTGAACCTTGTCCTTGGAGCCAAAAATAAAATTTATTTCAGATAATTTTAAAAAGTATACTCCTTTTTAGGGTATAAGATTATTTCCAAACCATTTTGATAAAATGTATAGATGTACGCGGCCTTGCGATTATTTTGACAGTTTAATCCCCCCTTAAAGACAGGTGCATAAATGTCTCTTAAATGACACATTAGATAACCTGTATTAGAACTTCAACCTCAAGGTCAAGGTTAAAGTTAACATAGGTACATTTTTAATGGAATGGAATAATTTGAAGATTAAAATGGTCACCGCGAATACTATATCTATTAAGTATAAGTCCTTTGATTTAAGTGTATAGTGCTTTCCAGAAAGGTTTCCCCTATTTCTTTTTTGGACTGGTCAAGTTGACAAGCGCAAATTCGAGAGGTTGAAATTGACGCACAAATACTAAATTTCAAAGTAAGAATAACAGTTGAAAAAGTCAAGATGGCGAACTGGCAGGCTGTCAAAGTTGGGCGTTTTGTATACTGAATCGCCTATAATTCAACAAAAAATCATCAGAACGTTATAATACTTTACGTCAATCTTTCTCTTTTTAAATACCTATCTTAATTTTCAATAATCCGTGCAGTATACATGATGTCTCAAATGGCTATGATGCTGGAACTAACACTCTTATTTGGAGAAATGTGTATGAGTGTATCTATATTTGCAAATAAAACTGTTATATTATGAATCATGGCTTTGGGATACCAAATACTGTGGGTAGCTACGTCAAAGAATCTGTGATTTCTGATGAAGTGCTAAGACTCAGATTTTATTTTGAAAGCATTTCATTATTCAGTATTAAGTCTTTGTTTTTTAAACTATATTAATCTTCTATCATACTATTCTACTATATTCATTATTGGGGAACAAATACGACTTACAATTATGAAGATCTAAAGAGTAAGGGTGAAACAACAACAAAAATATGCCCGCATATAAAGACTATGATATGGCATAGCTAGTTACTATAAAATTAAAATATAATATTTAGCATAATGTTTTTAAATAGTATGTACTTGTTATTAGTGAAGTATTTTTTCGTGCTTAGTTTAGGATAAATATTCATGAAATAATTGATTTTAAATAGCCAGTACCGTTTTTTATATAAACTTGACTTGAATTTTTGATGTTTTAATTAATGATGCTTCCAAACACGATTTTTTCTATACTGGAGTAAATTTAAAATCAGTTAAGTCAAAAACGGCAAGTATTATTGCTGGTAGACTTACTATCTTAGTATTAATTTAAATTTAATAGTTACTTAGCAGTATATTTGCATCTAAATTTGATCTGGTTTATTTTTGGAAAAATTGATTCTAACGATCTGATGATTTAATTATTTTAACTGAACTGTTGATGTTCTGTTATATGATATTTTCAAAAATAAGTATTTTCCATAAATGAACCAGTTCAGAATTATAAAGTACTATAATTAATAGAATTAAGGGTTTAGTATTTTGATATCAATTTTATTTCAGTAGGTATATCATAGATTATCTCAATGTTGGTATGTGTTCGGTAGGTATGTTATAATTTCGGAAGAATAGGATAAGATGTTTAAAATAAAGTTTGCGTATACCTGCAAGTGGTGAGACAAACACATGTGTTAACACTGTCAACAATTTTGTTCATCAATAAGTGTTTGAAGTTTTTATTGCAAATTTCCAACTTTCAGTGGTAAACAAAGTTGGATGTTGGAAATTATCCTATTCATCAATCATACCAAACAGCATCAGCATTGAAAGGGTGTTTGCAGGGTTTCTTTCAGTAAATCATATATGTTCATAGCTTTTTCTTTAAAATCTAATAAAATGACTGTATAGTCTGACGTTTGTTTCATTTTTATTCCCTTTTGTCTATTTGTCAACAGACTTTTTTGAAATCATGGCGCATGCAACATTATAGCGCATCCAACATGTGTCGAGTAATAGCTATTCCTTAAAAAATAAAATGGAAATGAGTGAGGGCATTTTATAACAATAGATTAACAGGAATTCGTAAGCCGATTGCTCTTGTCGCCATTTTCGAGAAAAAAATGATTATTGATAATACATTATTATTATGGCTATACACCGGGAAGGTATGCAAGCATGCATCGTCAATAAATATATATAGCAAGTGTCCGTTAAGATTAGAAATATATATTCGAGTCTAAATAACACATGATTCATAATTACCAAACAGATGAACAATGCGCTTATTCCGATAATTTTGCACGCCAAATGCTTTTGACATAAATTCTTTTGCTTCTCATTGATGATAGATTTGAAATATTATTTCTCACTTTTAGCATCCTAAATGCTTGCTTTTTTACACCGACGCAGCCATGCAGGAAAAAGCCTAATTGACAGGGCGCCGTTTTGAAACAAAAAATATAAAATAATAAAAAAATTGAGAACATATTTTCTTAGTTTATGGCGTTTTCGACCTGAAGATATCCGATCGTATACTGCATTTCGGCGTCCAAAGCATTATCCGAAATGAGATTAGATTCCCTAGCGTAAATGTGTCACATCTGTGATTCTCCCCTTCTCAATAATTGAAAATCTACTTTGAAAAGGTTAGACTACAGGGTGGGCCACATATGCGGAGGACAGCAGCTAAACCTTTACAGTTAGAAAAAACGGTCCTATAAAACATTTGTCTGAAATTACGAGTTCTCCAACTCTAATAGCAACTGACATTTGGCAGTAGAACCGTAATCAGCTGAAGATCCTACATTAGCATCAATTTTCATACGTGAATCAGGGCTAGGCAAATCAGTAGGTCAAACTGTAACGTCTGATAATACAATGCGCTTCAAAAAAAAGGGATTGAACAAAAGCTCAAAAAAAACGAAGCAGGTAATTGGTATGACCACCTTAGACGTCGTTTGATATGATGAATTATTTGATAGCATCTAGGTCTAGGATCTAGGTGCATCAATACAGAATCCTCCAATGCGACTCTCTGGTCTATTGTGACTCACACCTATGTATATTTCCCCCATTAGCTCCGACCTCCTGAGGAAGTCGATCAACTTGTTTGGAGAAATATCCTTCAGGTCTTCTGATTGAAGTACTACGTCTCTAAGTATGTTGTACCTGATTCTGGCGATTGTAGGGCATCTGCACAATACATGCTTACCGTTTCATCTCCCTCCATGTACAGTCTGCAATGACCAGTGTACAGTCCTATTAGAGCTTTGATGCTATTCCTCTTCAGCTGTACCAAAGAGTCTGTGTCCTTCTTTGTCAAGATGGGTTAACCCTGCTAATCCCTCCCAGTAGTAATGGATCCTTCTGTCGATCTCTGTAGAGATTATTTGTTTAGCCGTATTGTATGCGATCCCAATCGCTGGCTCAGGCCCTATGAAGGGTGTGCTAGCCACACTCTTTGCCATAGTGTCAGCTGTGTCATTTGTCTTGGTATCCATATGAGACGCACTTCATTTCCCTCCCCTATGCCACCGAGAACTTCTTTGCAATTCCACACTAGTTTCGATGTCGAGTAGGTGGATTCAAGTGCTTTAAGTGCGGCTTGACTATCTGAAAAAATAATAGTTCTGTGCCTCAGTTGTGGTTCTGCGATGATTCTGGCACCGAGTTCTATAGCATATAGCTCTTCTTGGAAAATCGACGTCCAGGTTCCTAGGTTAACAGATTTTTTAAACTTTAGCTACGGCACGAAGATACCAGCTCCAACAACTACCTCGGTCTTGGAGCCATCTGTGTATGCACAGATATATTTCCTTATCAGGTCAACTTGCTGTTCCCACTCATTCCTGTGTGGAATTGTCACTGTCACTTTTGATAGCATGCGGACCTATTAATTTGTCCATTTCGTCCCCTTTACATACCGGCGTATGTGTCAAAAAGTCGAAAATTGAGTTGCGCCGTCAAATAGTATAATTTTCATACGCATTTCATATGACAAATCAACATATCTGTATTCTTGCTATATTATTAAAAAACCCGATTAATCATTTGACGTATCTGAAAAAATGCTAATTAATATATGACATACAGGCGTAAGAACACATACGTCGCTTTGTCATATATGTCGAGGTCCAAAGAGATTTAAAAATTTGTGGAGTATTTACAAATCAGCCTTATTAGCACTATGACCGCATGATACACATAACCTCAAAATACAAGCTTACACGTGGTTGTATGATTCTGACGTTTGCTTTGATCTGTGAACAAATAAGTGTTTTGTATAAAAAATGGATGTACTTGTGTTGTGGAACGATGGCACGAAAAATGTCGTGTGTTCTAAAGACTTAAAAACACATAAAAGTTAGCTAATTAGGCCTGGAGGTACAGTCAAAATGATGTACGAAAACCAGTGGTATATGGGCAAGGTTATAGCGATAGACGAGCAAGGCAAGGTTATAGCGTGAATCATACGTATCGGAAGACGAAATACCATTGTCAAAGTATAAAGAAATGTACTGTGATGCACATGATTCCGAATCTGACGACGACAGGCCACTGGCCCGTTTCAGAGATGTTCAACGATGCCATATCAGATCAAGTGGTCAACGTTTTACCACAAAACGATTATGAAATGAGTGAAAATGATGCTCCAGAATACGACTCAGATGCTGATCCTTCTTTTGGTACGTGTGAGGTAAAGTTATGTAAAGGGGAAATATTTGCTGCCTGCCCTCGATGTGAAATTTTAGTTTGCTTTTCACACCTTCATGAAGACATAAAAAATTGTCGTGATCATGGAAAAACAAAAAAAAATACTAGAAATGGCTACTCTGCTGGCACCAGCATTCTTCGAGTTAGATGGGCCAGAGAGCGAGGAAGCTATAGAACAAATAAGAAGAGGATTGCAAAGCTTCCAAGAAATCTGGGTAAGATAGCCTTCACTAAATATAAATTGCACGATTGTAATGGTTATTTTTTTACAATTTTCAACGAGGTGATTTGTAGTTCATTATCTCCATCTATTTATGTTTTACAAATAATAGTAGTTCTTTTAAAATTTGTAGATGTTTGAGTTGTCTTTGTTTATATTTCAGGACATGAGTATGTATGTTAAGTCCATACTCTAGAAAGGTTGTTTCGGCTCGATCTATAAAACCACGTTGTACTTCAGCAGTCGGAAAAACAAACTCACTTCATAAATTTTCCTCTATAGAAAAGATTTCTCTAAAATACTTTGAAACAAACCATGGCCAAAGCGAAGCTGATTCAGCACATAGTGCTATTTCATCAGCTTTATCTCGTGCTTTAAACATTTTTATACCATCACAATTACAACCAGTTATAAATTTAGCACGCAGGAAACATCCTTATAAAGTAATTAGTATGAGCCATGACGAGTTTAGCGACTTCAAGGCTTTGTCCAAAGAACTTCGCGTTTTAAGTATAAGAGGAACCGAAGGCGGCAGCAAAATGAATTGGACTAACGTGATGGAAATCATAGTTGAAAGGTCTTCTCCAATGAATATCTTTTTTTTAAAAATAGCCACCTTCAGTTAGAGTTTGATTCAATTTCCCTTAAGCGTATATCGTCTGATATCGGCACAATGAAACTATGCAATTTAAACAAGGAGCCTAACAAAATTAGTCTCCAAAAATATAATGATCTGGTGGCGTTGTGCAGTGGAGCTACCCCTGGAGTTAAAGAGACATACTTTAAAACCTATTATAGGAACCTACCTCACCATGATTGTTCTGATAAATGAACTGTTTGCTTTCCAGATCCTTAAATAATGTGTGAAGGTGCAAAATAAATCTTATGTTTTTTATATTTATCTAGAACCATTAAAAATGTTCAAGTTTATTTGTTTTTCTTGTAACAAAAATAAAATACTTTACATGCAATGTATATTTTTAATTAAATTGTAAACCTGATATTTTACCCTCCATGTACACCTATTTTCCTATAAAGTTTCATTCTATTATCCTTATTCTGATCTCCCTAGTTAATGGCGTATCTGATGATAGTTAGTAAAAGATTTGTAACAAAACGACGTATCTGACTTTTATGTAAAAAAACAAAAAACTGGATAGTTGATTCATCAATGCGACTATTTCAATTGAACCCTTAAGTCTTTCAAATTATTATGTCAAAATTGTGAAAACTTCAAAATTTGCACAGCAGCGCTATAGCAAAATGATCTTGGAGCGTTTTCGTTTTTTCGCTCTCCTGTAAAATTTATAAATTGTTAGATACGCCGGTATGTCACAAAGGGGACGATTTATGTCCGTCTGACTTCATATATGAAAACTATATAGGATCTCCAATATATCTGCTTTTAAAAATGGTGGATGCTACTAGAATTTAAGAAGTTGACTTCTAAATGACATTTTATATCGGGATTCATTAATAATTTTCTTTTTTACTTTACTGAAACTTTTCTAGAAACACCTAGATAAAGTCACAACTATGAATATTGTGACATTTGCTCCTTGAGAATATTATTATTAACTAAGCCGTTACAAAAATGTGAAGTCACATTTTCACACTATTTCGTAAAGCAGTGCAATTTAAGGGTTCGGTGCAAAAACCGGTCAATTCAATGTTTTATTATTAGTTCAAAATCGATAGAAGCTTTCCAATATTGTTAGTTGTAGGAATTTTCTATCGAAAAAAATACCAATTTAGTAATGGTATTGGATCATAATTTAATACCAAACTGATAACAAAATATTTTTTTGGTTGATTCTTGCACCAAACGATGTGCAAACATTTGTCCTATCCGAGGGGTACCCGAAAAAACCGGAATTATTTTTTAAAAGCTATTTATTTTAAACTTTTTTACAAAGTAACCTTAATACTGGCCACTACAACTAATACACTTGCCCCACCGGTGCTTCCACTGCTCAACACATTTTTTGAAGCCTTTCTTAGAAATGTCAGACAGCTACTCCCTCGTTTTTTTCTAGATCTCTTCAATGTCGTCAAAGCGTCTGGATCTACCACAATATAGGGCCATTAGTGCGTTTAATTTTATTTAAAACGATGTCTACTAAGTAGATGAAAACGTTGACTGCTTTCATGAACATAAGTATGATTCAACAGCATTTTCTCGTAATGATGAGAATTTGATGAAACACGGGTCCCTTTTGGGATAAATCGGGCTTGCGAAACAAATGCCTATCTGATAATTGCAAGGCCTCCCTAGGAAATTCTGCTTCTTTGAAATAACTAAAGTATGGCAATGTCAACGTATGATTTATTATACATCTTTGGAATCATAATTAAAAATTCTATTCATCTGTGCAAATATCCAGTATGGTGTCTATAATAAAAGATAAAGTTGTTGCTGGATTACAAGGATGAAATGTTATACTGAAGCTCTAAGTAGAGGAGAAACAGTGGCAACGTTAATGTGTAATTTATTTTGAAATAAAGTCATAAAGAATTCGGGTTCTTCCGTCTCTCTCCGGGAGTACTTTGAATTCCGAAACTTTCTAGGCGGAATTTAGTTAATTACCTAAATCCGCCACTTTGCTTCCATTTAAGCGAGTTCGTATTTCTTCAAAAAAAAACACGACTAAATACGTCTGTCTCCAGGACTACTGTACCAATACCGCACTGATGAGTTGCTAATGAGCACGAAACAGCGCTTTCTGTGTTTGGTCATTGTTGTAGAGACAGGAAACAAACGTACATTTCAACCTCTTCCTTCGTGACGTAACAAAATGACTCTATACACTGTCAATGTCTTGAGATTATGTGACAGCTCTATACTTCGACAGGTCTCTGTGACTCACTAAGGCCATTTGATAGCCCACTCCATCCGTGTGATATATCCTAAAACACACCTTTGGTCTCTACTCCGGTAACAATGATTTTCTAATAGCACTTCGATAGTACTAAGCTTAGAGTTAGGCAAAAATACTAGCTATATCCAAAAAGGCTTGAGATAAATTAAGACAAAAACGCTTTCACACATGCCCAAAAAGAAAGCAGACTCATAAGTTCGAAATTCGGCTTTAAAATCGAAAAGTTCCCGTTCTATAATTTTATTCGCTGCTGTACGTGCATTTTCATTCTGGCCGTTGTTATTATTATATGATAAGTACGACCATCGGGTGGGGTGACGAATAGTATAAAATAGGTACTACCGACATCCAGAAGTTCATTTTCTGTCCGAGCTTGGTTCAAATATTTTCAATTCAGTGTACCGGTCAACTTCGCTGGCTGATAAAGGTAAAAGTCTTTTATTTTCGATTCGATATTGACTATCTGTTATAATGGTATTTCTTTAAGAGTATTAGTATTACTGTGCAGTTTTGCCTTTTATTTTGCACGCTCAATCTAAAAATACTTGAGAAGCCCTGGATTTAATGTTTCAACACCATATTTCTCGATTTAATCGAAATGCCACATTATATCAAGAATGAATAAATGGTAACTTACTTATTTTCAGTAGTTTTTGAATATTGGTATTCATAATACTGCCTTTCAGGAGTTAGCCTGATTTTTCCACTTTTCAGCACAAGTTTAGAATTCTGAAAGACACATTCACCATTTTGTCCTTGTTATAGTCAATTTTGTGATAATTTTTAATTGTAAAAAAGTATGAAAAATAAAATAATAAGAAATGTCTAGTAGCTCTGATGCATTAATACGAAATATTTTCAATTTGTACAAACATACAATTTCTGAACCTCTTAAAATGAATTTTGAAGCCTGTAGAATATAAGAAATGAGATTTTAAAAAATCATATTCAAAAATCTTTATTGATATTGATCATGGCGTAGGAAGAAAAAATGGCATGAATTTACATTTTATGTTTTTTTAAGTTCCTTGTAACCCTTCGTCTTAGTTATCAAGTTCCTTTTTGGGATAGTGACATTTTTAATATAATCAAACTTAGTTTTCTGACATTTTCAAACTTAGGATGCAGTAACAAAGTATTCGGGGAAAAATTATCAAAAACGCTTATTTTCAATGTTTCTTTACAGGTCATCCCAGCATCAAAAAATTTAAGATGTTCAAAATCTGTATGTGTAATTCATTCAAAAAATACTTTTAGCCTGAGGTCCCATATACCATAAAATCTTTATCATATGTTAAGGAATGCAAGTTTGGTAAGAGTCTTACCACTTTGGACTTTCGAATATGGTGACATGTTCAACATAGAAAAAAGTTCAAATTAAAATTAATAATTATAGCGTAGCCCTCTAGATGCTGCATAAAAATCAAACATTTTTTTTCTATAAAGATGCAGTGAGAAATGATTAATTCTCGTGATAAATGTTTAAAAAAATATCGTTTCTTCGTCATAAGTTTTTTGAGACTACAGCTATTTTTACTAAATGATTCACATCTTTATTATGGGAAAAAACTGTTTATTTTGACGGGATTTATCACATTGTCAATTTTGTAAAGTTCTGAGCATTTTGATTTTGGGTTCCCACAACCCGCATTCATGCAGAAATTTGCCCTATTTTAACAAAAGTGCCTTTTTTGCTTAAACATACCGAGGAAATTGTTTATTTTATAAAAAAATTAAAAAACTACACTGAGAAACAAGTTGTGGCCATTTAAAACTATCCGAAGTGCAGTGTGAAGCGGTCTCGAACTTCCACAATGAAAAAATGTCTATATTCAGATTTCGCATCCCAAAAACCCCCCTGTACCAATTTTTGAAGGAATGTTCATGGATTAAAAAAAATAATTTTTATTTTCTAACTTTGCCACCCTGTATCTCGGAATCGGAGCAATTTTGGACTAAAGTAAGTTACGTCAAGTCGGCTTATTTAGAACTCAGTAATATGTGCTAAAATTTTGTAAAGAGCTTTTAGGGACGCTCTGTATAGTGCAGCCAACTTCAATTTTTGCCATTTGACAATTTTTGATACAATTTTTTAACGAGAATTTCTTTAGCTTTCTAATGAGGCATGGCTCATAAAAATCGGTTTACCAGTAACAACATTAGAAATCTTGATACTTGAAATGGTGCTTTCTGAACCACTGTGCGGCGCAAGATTTCAAGTTTTATGACAGCGAATTTGCTGCGATTATTGTTATTCAAGTAGGCAATGCTTCTTGGCTGATTCAGAAGCAGATATTCAGAAGCTGTTTGAAGGATTATCCTACGACGCACTGAGTTTCAAGTCATTTACAAGGGTTTAGCTGCTTCTAAGCTGACACTCCATTTTTAAATATTTTTGAATGGAACTGATACAGCAGGTTCAGAAGACAATTGCCCAGGGTGGTAACGGAGCATTTCTTGAAATTTAGTTTTTTTGCACAAGATTTATGGTGGGTTAAAATGCCTACTCTTTTTGTTGAACTTTGTGACTTTTTTAAAGAGAGCCTAGTGGAAAAAATGAAAAAGTGGCTCGATTGCACCCTGTACGGTTTTGTTCTCAGCACGCTGTAAAAATTTAATTCGGAAATATTCAAAGATGAAGCGTCAGTTTCGAAGCGCGCAGTTGTGTTTTTAAGTCTTCTATGACATCACGAAAACTGTATCATTTCCGTCTGACGGTCTGCTAATCCTTTGCCCGTCCATGACTTGGAAATTTCCACTATGCCAAAGCTTTGAGGTTTCAGTCATGTGACGGCCGCGCTATAGGCAAAAAACGAAATAAATAAAAGCAGAAACTCCGATTTTGACTTTCAGGGGTTTCTAATCGTTGTTATAAAAAAATGTAGTACTTAAAAAGTGGGTGTTAGGGGAAGCTGATAATTTAATGTTGCATCTTTGATATGTGGAACACGGTCTATTATTAAGTAGTAATTACAGGAAATTTGAGTGACGGAAATCCGACGAATAATGTGCGTTATAGGTTTGAATACCTGTAGATTCGGATATAGATAATGGGGATTCTTAGGACTAGAATAGTTAAAAAAACT